CCCCCCCCCCCCCCCCCAACCCTCCTCGCTTCCCCCTCTTACTCTCCCATCCGTCCGTTTGCCCCTTGCCCTTCCACCCCTGCTCTTACCTCCTTGCTCCCGGCTGTAGACGACTATACAGTCCGGCAGCCTGGTGGCGTCCCTTCAGCATGCCCCTCTTAACCATCAGGCCGTCGTCTTTTATAGCCGACTCCCCCTCTATTCTTCCCTGCGCTCTGTTCGAGGTACCTCTTTCCCTCGTCATGAACAAACACATTGGGAAGGGTGGAGCACACTAATGACTTCACACTCATCAGCGCCTGCCCCATATGGCAGCCAACATACATTCCATCTTCCAACATACATTCCATCTTCCCCGCATGACGTCAGCTCCTCCTCACCTCCGCTTTCCCTTTCCCTTCTTCATGGCGAACCTACCGCTCCTCCAAGCAAGTTTATTCAATCCTAACACTTGAGTCGCCTTCCTGCAGCTGCTAGCCTCGTGGTGTCCCGACAGGCTCAGGCGCTCAACGTCCTTGATCCAACCTGAAAGGTCAAGGGTCGACTCCAGCCCATCGGCTCCGCCACTTCTCCCTATGACTTGAATTAGCCCTCCAACAAGCTCACATTCAGTCCACCTCGCATTGCTTCTTCCCTGTGTCCTGTCCACCAGTACCTACATGTCTCGCCAACTTGCGAGCCGTCCCTTCATCCCTTAGAGCAGTGAGTGAGTACCCCTTATCTGACTCCAAAGGTCAGCGACTCTCGGACACCACCATCGAGTTGACGAGCGGCAGGTAAGTGAAGACGGTACTACCCTGGTCATCTGACTATAGCCGGATTCGAAGTTGGGTCTGTATTTCGACAAGAGTCTTATTTCAATAGGTCATGGGTGTACCAACCGAGCTTGGCCTGTTGGTGCTGCTGAACTAGACCAGCCATACTGGTCCCATAGCACACCCCAGCAGGCTCGGGGTGCATCGGCCTGGTCTGGCAGCTGGCAGCTGGCTCGCTGGAACTGCCCCTCCAGCCTAATCATATTGACAGTCCATGTGGGCTAAGGACCGGGGTCAGGAGCGAAGGGTCACGTCAGGCGGCCAAGCCAATGCGGTACTAAGTCAGGCAGACACCGGCCGTATCAGGCCCGCTTCTCCTTGACCTGGCTATCCACAAGGCCGCCGGGGCTTGGACGCTTTCAAATTCAAATCTCAACCGCCTGTTCAAGCCCTGGCCGCACGCATAATACGACAATGTTGATGAATGATAATAATAACAGTGATGATAATAAAATAGAGTAAAATAGAACAAGATAAAATAAAAGATGAAAAATAATAAGCGGAAAGCAAACCGAGTTGTCAGTATTCCGACCAAGAGAAAAAAGGAAAAGAAGAACCCTTGATGGCGAAGCCGAAGCGCCCCTCCTTGCAAAAGGGGTGATGCTCGCGAAAGGGCCTCACCTCTAGCGTAGCGGTGCAGCGGCTGGCCTCAGCCTTCAGGCGGTCCACCGACGGCTCGGGAACCCTTCCGAATCATGTTCCAACAGCTTCCTGAACCCATTGAGCTACGTCTCCGTCGCTCGGGAAACCTAAGTGCAACAAAAGCACTCTTACTGATGAGCGCTGCCAGCCTTCGGGTGCTGGGTGGCGGTAGGGTTTACGGGCCCGCTCCACCATATTGTTTTCTCCTATCGCCGCTGGGGTATCCTACACAACCTACGGGTGCACAGCCGCGGTAGGCAGGGATACCGGATCTGTACTACAATGGTCGACCTTGTTATCAAATGGTGCCGTTCCTTCTCTTCCTTATCCGCCCTAGGCTCCACCTCAGCTCCTCGTGTTTAAACCACCAGTACTTGGCCCAGCTATCGGCGGCGCCGCTTCCCCGTTAACTTGCCGCGGCATTCGGACTTCGGCCTACCGGACCGCATTGGCTGGAGGCCACAGCCAAAAAGAAAACAAAAAAGAGTGACGGCGGCACGGTAGGACTTGGGGCGCAGGGTGCTGAGAGGTTCGGCTTCGATAGCCGGGCTGAGTACTGGTGGTTTTAAGGGCTGTGGCAGGGGGCTTACAAAAGAGTATTCCATTCCATCAATCATGTGACAAGGCAAACTCCTTCCAATTCCAGGACTTTGGCATAGCCGACTGATCCCCCCAGGGTCTAAGCCTGTCTTAGGAGGTATGTAGTGACTAAATCCTTCAGCAAACAACTAAGTTCCGGTCCCGTTTCCTTCAAACAGAAATTCCAGAGGGCCCTCTTTTCACTTAAAAGAGTCCTTAAGACTTTGAGACGTTACCATGGTTTCCAAATTCCAATCTATCTTTGGAATTCTGCTCTTGTGGCAGTTCGGTGTTTTCTAATCTATCTTTGGATAATTCCGCTCGTGTCAGTTTTCATGTGACAGGGTGTGACACTGGTATGGTGTGAGATGGTGGTGAATCATGGCCTAGTTGCAATGTAATGGTATATAATGTAATGGTACGGTATGGTATCTGATGCAATACAAAAAATTATACAATGTAATAATGTAGTGTAATGTAGTTGTATGAAATGTAATATAATGTATAATGTAATGCTGGAGCCTGTCACGCCAGGAACTCGTTTTAATCTCCTTTGCTGCATCATCCTACTGACGTGCACACACAGTTTTTGTTTGGCCAATCAGGTCTCAGTGAGGTGGAGAAGGGCGAATTCTGTGCCGGTGATAACTCCCCTTTCGCCAGCCCGCTTGCTGCCACATGATCCTGCCTGATATGCAAAATTGCGGAATTGATGATGAGCGATCTCCTACTTCCCCTTGCGCGGCTCTGCGCATGTGCAGAAGCCAAAAGCCCCACCCATGGGTTGCTATACCGAATGCATTTCCCGTTCTCCCCGATACCAGGGGAGGGGAGTCGTCGCGCCCATCGATGCGAGCTCGCCTTTGCTGGCCTGCTTGGTGGTAGTTGGATCTGGCTCGACGCCTCGACCGGTCGGACAGATAGTGAGTGATGCCCTGTGCCCCCTTGTGTGGCTGTGTGTCAATTCTTATGAAGGAGGGCCGCCAACGGCTTGACGTGTACAACGAGCTTCGTGTTTTGCCGGATGGTTGCATCGTGGTTGCTGTTCTGTGTAAAGTCTAATGCTGTTGGGAAGAAAACTTTTGTGTTGTGGTAAGGTGATATTGCATAGTATGTAGCGTGGTGCCGCATGTGTGAGGAGACATTGAATTGCATTTCACTGTTGTAATATGAAAGTGAGCAAGCATATTCGAAGGGTGATCACTTCAGTTCAAGAGTCGAGAGTACAGGTGTGGCAGCAGTGCGTAACGGGATTATTTGTGTTGTGCGCTCAGTGCTCGTTCCGAGGACTGTTTCGTTCCGTCGAGTTCTCATGGCAGTTGCTTTTGTGCTAACGGGAACTGGCAGGCTGTTATACCATGTGGTTGGTCAGCTGGCACTTTCTGACCGGTCCGTCCCTCTCTCTAAAAGAGGGAGCAGCAGCTGTGAGAAAGCTGCTGATCGGTTTGTATTGCTACTGAAGGGTTGAGCATCTACGCGTCAGAGAGACGCAGGGGGGTCAGCTGAGGCGGTATGGTTTTGGCTGGAGGAGAACCGGTAGGCCGTTGTGCCGTGCGTTTGGTCAGCTGGCATTTTCTGAGCAGCCCCGTGCTCTTGTAAAGTGGGAGCACTGGTGGGAAGGCTGATCAGTGTCTAGTGCTGCAACGCACTGCTACTGGATGGTCGAACGTCTGTGCTTCAGTGAGAGCCAGGCCGGTGGGCTGAGGCTGGACATCCACGATGGATAGAACAACGAGGAGGCTGGAGATCCACGATGGATGGAACAACGTGGTGAATCTGAGTGGTAGGGAAACTCAGTATCAAGATGTCTGAATAGTGTAGGGTAATGACACTCAGGATAAAGATGTGTATGACACTGTGTGTTGAATAGAGTAGTGCTGCTCGGCGTAAATCTCTAAGCCTGCTGCAGCTCCTTGTCGAATCTGCAACGACCATCGTTTCCCAAGTGGAATGTGGGCCAAGATGTGTGTGTGGAAGGAATATAGCTTACAGCTACTCGGGGTAAATCTCAAAGCCTGCCGCAACTCCTGCCTTAATCTGCAATGACCATCGTTTCCCAAGTGGAAGGTGAGCTGTGTGACTATGTTCAGAACGTCAGTCTCTTCAGTTTCAATTTTGGGACGGAACGGTGCCCTGGTGTTCAAGTCGGAGGGGATATCGAGTGGCACAACGGCAGTGGTGTCTTCTTCCTTTGGCGGCAACCTGCAGAACAATGGCCAGTAATAAGGGTATGGTATTGCCCTGCAACAGGCATACCCACACAGTTTTATTCTGCATCGATTTGACTGTCGAAGGAGTATTGCCCTGCACACAGTTTGCAGAATCATTGACATTCTCGAGGACGTGGCTTTTTGGTCCGTCAGCGTCTCAGAGTCTTTTGCTGTTGTTGTCTAGCCGCTCAACTTGAAGTGTTCAGTGGCGCTGCGTTTCCTGGTGCTGTGGCTGAAAGCAGTTGTTGCTCTTGGGCACTTCATCGACTCGATCCAGATGCATGTGTGTGTGTGTGTGTGTGTGTGTGTGTGTGTGTGTGTGTGTGTGTGTGTGTGTGTGCGCGCGCTGAAGACGAACTTCAACGCCATTTCACATCACGCTGTTTACAGTCATTGATCGGAGCAGTACCTTGGGAGGATCTGCAGAGTGACAGATGGCTACCTTGATTTGTTTTTAACTCTTGTTGTTCTATCTGTTTCATTCTGCCAGACGCTTTTCGCCATGGTATTGGACAATCAATCGCCTCCATGAGACCAGGTCCCTACCCAGCCTTGATTAGACGAGGTAAGCCCGTTCCCGCGCTTAATAATCCTTGTAGTGTATAGTGCATCAATTTCCTCTTTAGTTCTTGTGCCAAAACGGTTATCGTTCTGCCGTCTCGTTTCAACCTCGTGCTTTTGGTCATCAACCGGGTGCATACAAAGGATATATTCTCTGCGCGGGGAGAAGAAATGTGTGGTCTGTCTGTTTGGAATATCATTATCGTTATGACTCTTACGAGAGAGTGTAAGATTTCGGTGAGTGTCTCAGACCTTGGATTGTTCCTCAGTGAGTGTAAGATTTCGGGTTAAGCGACCGATGGTGTGTCCGATCGCATCCTGTAGACAAGGTTGATTTCTTTTGTGCTGTTGTTGGGCAGAAGGTGAAGTCCGATTACCGTTCTCTTTCCTTAGAGATAATGAATAATAAGGATGGAGCGCATGGCGAATAAGAGAGGGACAAAGGTGGAGTGAGGAGAAGGAGGCTGCCCTTCCACTGAAAGCCGCTACATTTGGTTAAGACATGGAAAATGATTCTGTATAAGGACAGAGATAGAGGAGGAGGAGGAGGAGGAGGAGGAGGAGGAGGAGGAGGAGGAGGAGGAAGAGTAGTGTGTAAATTTTTCTTATTAGACTTGTAGTTATGATTTGACTTTCTCCCATCCCTCCCCCCCCCTCCTCCCGCATCTAGGCTAAGTTTGTAGCCTTTAAGTGAAAAATTGTATATTGACCCTGTAGGAGTACCAATTAAAGAATTGATACATAGGCTCAGGTTTTAGTAGAGAAGTGATGGCAAGCATCCTTGAAGTAAGGGGGCTGCAATGTAAAAGAAGAAGAAGTCACTGCCCATTTTTTATTATTTGAAGGCTTTTTCGGGATCCACCCCCCCAAAAGGTTGATTTGGTTTTGTATTTGGAAGGTGGCTGAGATTACGTAACACTGAATAAAAGTCAGCTTTGAAAAGTACAAGGGACTTAGAGGTGCTGGTAAGAGCAAACACCGCTAGCACCGAGGCAGAGGCTCCATCTATTGGTGGGGAGCATCACCTGCTGGAAAGCGGGTCCAGCGTACTGTTATTATATCTTATTATGTCTATTATACATCCAGTGGATTGGCCTCTAATCTACGAGCAGAGAATATTGTGAAGCCATTCTGCTAAGCGTCCTTTTCTGCTAAGCCATTCTGCTAAGCCAAAAAAACATTAGAAATCGTCGTCCTATATACGTTTTGCTACGTTCAAATTGCGGTGAAAAAAAAAGAAAAGTGAATCTGACAACCTAGAGTAATATTGTGGTTATTTCAACTTATTTGTTATGATACTTGGTGTTCCCGGGTGGGCACGCGGCCAAGTCGCCCAGGAGGGCAAGGAGGCAGTTTTGGCCCGCTGCTTCTTCTTCGTTGTCGTCTTCTTCATTGTCACTCATCGTCCTCTTCTTCATCATTGTAGTCGTCATGGTCGTTTATTTTGTATTTTATATTTTATATTTTTTCCCTGGCTGTTGGGGCATTTCTGTGCCCACCAACATAGGCCAAAATCCGTTTTTACTTTTATTTGTCAGTGTAAGGCTCGTTGGGGGCATGTTGACAGCAAAGGGGGAGCACAATGGGGAGGGGGAAAATAAAACCTGGTTGAATTGACCAACTCTCTCTCTCTCTCTCTCTCTCTCTCTCTCTCTCTCTCTCTCTCTCTCTCTCTCTCTCTCTCTCTCTCTCTCTCTCTGT